CTCCTAATTGGACGTCTGGGTAGTGAAAATCCCTCCGGTCGGTAACTAAGAGAGCTTCGGTTTTTGCACTGCCATCTGTAGCTGTCGTCTATCTAGCCATTTTTTAACCCCAAACAGCGCTTCGTTCACTCTCAATTCGAGGAGTTTAATGTCATCTCCGTGGCTTATTATTAACGTATCGTCAGCATAGCCTACGAACTGTGTATATTTCGGCAAGTCAATGCTTAGAACGTCATCATACAGGACATTCCATAAAAATGGCCCAAGTCTGGACCCTTGAACACCGCACGTCACTTTTTCTATCCTGATACTGTCCACATAAGTTATCGTCCTTTCATGGAGGTAGTCTTCAATAATCCTTATGGGGGATTATTTTGTTAACTAACACTTATATAAAGTCCTTCCACCTGGCGGAGTTGAAGGCGTTTCTAATATCAATTGTCACGAATGCGCAGAATCCCTTCTTGCAGACTCCTCTTCTGGCTTCGTCTGCTTTATCGATTACTTCCAGGATCGCATCCGTCGTCGACCGGCTTCTCCGGAATCCATATCGCCTGTGAGAAAAGCATGACCCCCTCAAGCGTAGACAGTATTAAACCCTCACGCAGCTTGCCCATGGTATCAAGGAGGCAGAGTGGTCTGTATGATGACGTTTGATCTACCGGCTTGTCGCCCTTTCGAGGGAGTATCAGCTTTTGTCTATTCTTCCACGTCTTGAAAAAATTCTCATCCTCAAGGAAGCGAATATAGATTGACAAAAGGCATTCCGGATACTCCTGTGCCACTATTTTTTAGTATATCACGGAATTCCATCAAAACCTGGGGCTTTCCCAGTTTTCATGCTTTTCGCCGCACTCCTCAGTTCGTCTATCGTGAAGTAGTCTGCTGCGTCAACCGTGAAGTCGCTATCTTTGTCTCGGCCAGGGTTCTCTAGAGGGAAAGAGTTCCCCAATAGCTTTCCTCATCCATTGCGGATCATTCAAACCTGGTATCGTCCAATCCATCCTGAATTTCTTATTTACTATTTAATAAGCCATGTCCCATGAGTCGTTATCTATCTGTTCTAAAAGCTCTTTCCAGCATCTGCCTTTACTTTTTATTTCTCTCTCAAGACGTTTGGACAGTTCTTTATACTGTTCTCTGAGGTGCAGATTGGTCTTGGCCCTTGTCGCTATTCTTCTAGCCTTAATACAGTTTCTTCGTAGTTCATCTATTTTTGGTGTCTACCAATACATTTGCTGTTTCCTCCTCGGACATATAAGTCTAGGCATGGATGCGCCGCAAGCTGCTACTGTTTCCTCCGTTGCCTTGACCATATCTTCAAGCGTTTCCGCATCTTTCGTCCAACCCATGTTAACCAGAAATATGGATTCTTCAAAGGAGCGTTTTGCCTTGTCTTCATTCAAGTTTTTGAGATTCCATGGTGGTCTTTCCTTTATATCGCATTTTGACATGTTGTGGTCTCTGCGTTAACGGAGCCAAATATCCTATGTACCGATGGTCCCTGAGGGTTTCTCCGTCGAGCAGTGGCCGATCAGCGATGCCTTTAGCTAGCTTGGTGGAGCTTATTGTCAAATTCAAAATGGATGATGCGGCTCCACGATGAAAGGTGTACTCGTCCCCAGTATTTAAGATGATCAGTACATTTCTTGCAATGAATTCACATATGACAGTTCCTCTTCCATCGGAGCGCGTGTCTCCCCATTCGGACGACTTACCATTGAAATCGCCTGCCACTAATACCTCGCTCTTAGAAGTTTTCAAGCTAGCTTCCAGCTCATCGATATCTTTCTGAAATTTTTCTAGCGTATCATTCGGTGAAAAATAGCAGCTATAATTCTCATATTGCCCACTTCCAGCCATACAAACTCGTATTTCGTGATACTCAGCTTATTATGCATTATTATGCCGCCTCTTACAGTAGCACCCTGATACCACTTGTCGCAGTGAGGTTGCTCGCTGACGAGCAGCACGTCAACCTCCCTTTCAGCAGCGACCTGCAGCATCAAATCCCACGCCTGTTTAATCCTACCCAAATTAACTTGTAGGAATCGGAGCATATTTTCTCTTTTTGGCTTTATTGAACGCAATGATGAAGGAAGTATATTTATTACTTCCTAACAGATGATTATCGTCATTGTTTCCCTCCTTGCATATAACACACTGCAGTTTACTAGTACAATTCTTAATACCATGCCCGGTTTTGCCACATCTGTAACATGCGTTACTTCGATCAGGACCTCTGCAAGCAGTTGAGAAATGTCCAAAGCCTAAGTATCGACCAGCCAAAGGCCTAATCATCGACAGGTCACCCAGCCGACTTTAATTTTTCCTGTTGTTATGAGCTTTTTGGGCTACCTTTTCACTCAGTAGTATTGTGGCTGTTTGCATTCCTCTGTATCCCCTACGTAACCTACAGGAGTCGGAGATCTGGTCAGCCGTTACGTCTATTGTCTGCAGTAGTGAAGTGAAATAAAGTTTTGATTGCAAAGGAATGGTTTGAAAGTATATTCTAATAACATTCATTCATACTCATCAAAAATGAACTTCAAGTAATACAAAAATGAATCCCTTAAAAAAAATAATAAAAAAAACAAAGAAATTAGAAATGCAGATTTAATGAAAAGAAAAGTTTTATCTTTGTAGCAGTATGTTAGTTTCTTGTATTGTAAGACATCTTAATGCAATACATGATTAAAATTATCAAAAAAGGCTGTTAGGTCTGCTTTGATAATAAATAAAGTGTTGTCATATAAGATGATACAATACGTTCAACAGTCATTGTTTTATCTCCTTTGTAAAAATTCAAATGTATAATTTTTACTCTTAACCTGGCAAATGTGGTAGGATGTGAATATTTTTTAAAAGGAAACTCATTTTGATTTTGTATAATTTGACTTTAAATTATCTAAGTGGATAAAATTTATAGAACTTCAAATGGATTCGGTGGAAATGTTATATCCTTCAAATAAATAACAATGCAAATAAAGGAAGTTATTTTTTCACTTAAACATTTGTTTTTTTATTTTACCTTCATACTCATCTTCTAATTGACTTTTATTTATAGATAATAAAGTTATTGACGGTACAAAACATTTCAATTTTCATTTCTTAGGCTAAAATTTGCAAAGTGGTCATGAAAATCCATTCATCTTTCATTAATTTGAATATATTATTTAGTATCCATTTAAGAACAGGTGAGTACAATAATTCGTTGCACTTTTTAACCCATTTTTTATCTTACTTTTAAGAACTGGCTTGATTTCCATGTTTAAGGAATTTACCTGAAGTTACCAATTGAATTAACTGAGAATTCTGTCAAACAGTACTCAGAGAATATGTACTAACTAGTATCCTTTTTCCAATTTTAAAAACAAGATTTTCCTTGAAAGCTATTACGAAACATTATATTATATATTTCAATAATAGCTTTCAATACAAGAACAACATTGGCACAAATAAAACTGTTTTTAATATAAGTTTAAGGCTGTCACAAAGTCCCTAAACACTTCATTTTTTGGACTTTTTTTGTTACTTTTTAGAAAATAATGAATACATTTTATTTAAAGTTGTTTTTATTGCCGGATTTTTGCCTCAGGTAGTGCCCATGTTACCCCACTTAACTTTTATGATAATCAAACATTACTTATTTGACAGTGAGGCACATGTCTGAATATGGCTAATTTTACGTTAAAATCATAGATATAGGTACTTTTTAAATGGCTATAGCTCTGTAAATTTTTATTCAAAATACTTTTAATTCTGATAAGATTAAAAAAATCTCTACTTTAAGAACTTTGCTCTGCACAATTTATCTATTTCACTAATCGGTTAAAATTGTGAATCCATCAGTTTCTCTATGACTTCCATCAGAGCACGAAAGATTACATTGTGCTGTTGTTTTTTCCATGTAAGACCTTGCCAGCTAAAGTGTCTTGGCATGACTTACCACCCAAGATACGTTCTGATTCAAAAAGAAGCCCATAAATGGCAATTTAAGAGGGTGTATCCTCTCTTTCTGGCATATAGCTCCATTAAAAAAAACTTCCTCTTCTAGCTTCAGGTGTGCTGAGAGATATAATCTGGATGTGGGCAATTAACATACAAGGAGAAGAGGAAAGGCTGTTTGCCCTCATAGTGACTTCAATTAATTTGGTTTGTTTTTGCTTAGCTTAACTAGCTTAAAAGCACACATAATTAAAACTTAGTCAAAATATATTTCCTCACAACTATCAACCCAAAATTCATACTTTTTCCTCTTAAACATCAAAGCATATATTTTATCTGGTAATTACATCCAAAAGAAGAAAATTAATGAGGAGGACGTTTGTTCCTTCCCGCACCTGAGGAATTGCCGTGGGAATTAAGACATTTCTAAAATAATTAAGGCACTCAAACACAAATACATTCAAAGTATCTCAGCCAAAACCTCCACATAACAGAGAAACATGGCCATTGAATCTATTTTCTCTGATTAAATCAGAAAGAGATACCTGAGAAGTGAAGAGGCTAGAGAGAGATAAAATGAGAATACTTTATTAATGAACGTTTAAGAAGGCGGTAAGTTTAAGTTAGCAATAGTGTTTTTATATATCACTGATTTTAATGTATTTCCTATGCATTTAACCTGAATAAATAATTTTAAAATATGAAATAAAGAAATTTTAAGCTGTTCAGATTAGTATCAGTCTATATCATGAGTCATGAACTAATAAACAATATCCACTAAACAATAGTTCATTTTCAACTCCAAATTCTTGCCTTGCAAATACATCTTTAAATTATTTAATTCTTAGGGTTGTTGAAAATAAAAAATGACATATTGTCTTTACGTACAATATTTCCATTTGTACATAGAATAAATGATTTATGTATTCTTATTGGTAGTGACATATAACTTCTAAACCTATAGTTTCACAGACATGTCAGTAAATTTTGCTACAGTTTAAAAATGTAATTTGAAGACATGTATACAAGACAGAGGGAATTTTTGAGCTTACCGTGAGAGAATCTGTTGAAGGTAACTCCAGTTTGTCCCATAGTACTTTCCATTTTTGAGGTAGGTGTCCAAGCTCTGTCTCCAATCTTCGGATTTCCTCCAGTAGATGTGAAAAAGCATCAGGAACACACCTATCTATATCATCATACCTGTTAAACATCAATAATATTTTTTTAGTGAAAATTTTAATATCACTGATGAATGAAAGCAAACAGTTACTTTATCCCAGTACAATGACAAATCTCTGGGATCACATCACTAAGATTAGAAATGCTCTGATCAGTGCGTGCTTATTTTTCAAAGGATAGAAATGTGATGCTGTCAGTGCTGATCACCTAACTAACTCTCTGATTGCAATTGCTGTAATGTACAATTTAAATGAAATGCAAATGGCGTCTAGTGCTAATGAAAGAAATGGAAGGCAGAGTTTGTTTGAAATTAAACCAAACAATTCAAAATTATACATTTCTCTTACTAAACCTGATCCCACATGTACATGACAAAAAAATAACAATTTTTTAAAATAGATGATACAACCTAAAACTAGAGTTGTTTCAACAGCATATACTTTCCCACATTAAGCAATGTCATATTAGGTAGTACATAGTTCTACTCAACAAACACATTTCCCCCCCCCCGTATTTAAATTCAGGTTCCTAGATTTATCATGCCATGTTAACCCTACACAACCAAATTTACAGTACCTCAAACTAAAATTTCCTTTCGAATTGAACATTGGATTTCCAATTCTTAAAAATTCAGTAGTTTTCACTGACATAATTACAAACTTCTTTTATAAGAACAGTTTCATTAAAGAAATAAATCTCATGAATTTTGTACTTTTGTAACGTACATTTTCGGAGTTTTCAAAAATCCTGAGAGTTTACCAAAACTTGGACTTATGAACACCATTTTCCAAAATTTTTTTTTGTTCTATTAAAAAGAAATTAAAGAACTTTGGAGCCATACTTTGAGAAATTATTTCCTTTTTATTTGTCTTTAACTTAAGCAAAAATTACATGCAAACTACTCTTATTATCCGAAAACTGTACATGACCTTATTTAAAGGTCTAAATAAAAGATTTCATTCAGGAAAAAAATATCTAATCTTCCAAATTGTAGTAATAGGATGAAAAAGATTTAAACTTACACAAATTTCAAAAATACAGAGTTAGACCCGAAAAGTGTCAGTGATGCGGCTCGTCCCAGATAGCCTGGACAACATATAATAGAAAGTAGTTTGTGAAGGTAGATGTGTATGTGCAATAGTATTGACAATACTCCAATTTTTTGCCTGACTGAGTGCCCGAGTTATAGCAACCTTGTCTGAGTTATTATAGCAAAACCTGAATATTTTTAACTTGGAAGATGGGGGGGAGCTGAAAGCTGAAGCTTGAATACTTCAACATATCAAGTTCAGTTCCAAGAATGTTAAATGAATTCAGGTATTACAGAAATTGAAAATTAACTAGAATTGATTCCTGAAGTATGATATAATAAATGTATTCAATTACTTCCTAGAAAAGTGTGATAAACATTATTAAAACCTAATGCACAACTTTTAAGATTCTCTTGGAGGCACTGACAAATACTTTACAAAACAGTCTCCTTAAACAATTTCATCTAATTGATATACTACATTTTACTTTACAATTGCGTATAATTTCAAAATCCCAAGGAACTTGTGTAACTTATCCAATTGTACAGGTGAACCACTTTAGCATGTTCATATCAAATTAAAAATCAAAATTGATTTTCCTCCCAAATATAGAATTGGCAGAAGATTTAGTCATGACATGCATTGACATGCATGAGAAACAAACCACCACAATGCTAATTCTTTTCAAACTGGTGCTATATTTGATGACCTGAAGATTTAAATCTAAGGATTCAAATCACTCACCCCATTGTTACCACTCGCCGTGAAGAGAGGTTCACTGTGCCATCAGCAGCCTCTGCCTCTTCTTCCTGCTGAGAGTCCAACTGGATGACTTCTAGATCATAGCTGGGCCCATGAGCCAGTTGCTCTCCGAGATAGTACTGCCACAGTCCAAGAGCAGGCAGATGTGACTGTGGCCTGAGTACCTACAAAATAAAAGATTTATTCATTCAGAAAATAAGTAGTCTGACTACAACGTTGTGCGACTTCTTTGTATTATTTCTCAAGGTTTTGTAGAATTTTCATCATTCAATTTCAACTTATACTCAGCAAAACTTCCTTCAGCAAACTGCTGGAAATGTGCACTAATTCCGTTTACTAATATCATTTAAGACCCTTCATTGGGATATTAATCTTTTTGCTGTGTAGGCAAGCAATGCATGTATACATAAAAATGTATGCATCTGAATCATGTTCAGCACAATGTGCTTCCCAGGTAATGGTAATCAAAAGCTGTTTGAGCTTTAAAGTAAACAACAATCCACCCAGTATTTGCTACAGGCATCATAAATGTCAATTGGGAAAGTGAAATTGTTGCAAAAAATGACAGTGAAAAATGCAAGAGCTTCAAGCTGCTCTGTCAGACATCTGTCAAAACCCCTACCATATAGGTGTTTTGACAACTCTGCCTTAGGACAAGGTTTTGGAAAACATGTTAATTCCATGGACAACAGATATGAGAGTTTCTCTTGCAATTGAGAACATAGAATTAATTGCTTGCGAAGTGACAAATAATTTGATAATACATAAGCTCACATAACACTAACTTAGTAGAGTTTTGTTTACAAAAACTGTTTTACAAATTATTACTAATACTATTTCTTTTTAATGTGTTGGGCTTCATAATACAAAGCAATATATTACAACTACAGTATATATAAGGCATAATAGGTGTATATACACCAGCTGAAGGTCAAGTAGAAGAATTGGTAGACCGCATAAGCCTAAAGAAGTTTCTCATTATCTGAGTAGATTTCAACGCCAGAGTGGGCGAAAAGGAAGTCCCCACCTAGCAATGGGTCAGAAAGTAAAAAAACTCTAAATGAAAATGGGAAAACACTACTAAACTTTTGCTTATTCAATAACCTGATAATAACTAATAGTTTCTTCAAACATAATAATTAACATAAATATACTTGGGAAGCAAGAGGAACAAAATCTGTCCTAGACTACATAATAGTCAGCAGAAACCTATTAAATTATGTCAAGAACATGAAAGTATAAAGAGAGAGTGAGATAGACACAGACCACTGTTTGGTAGAAAGGAAAATTACAATACATACAGAAACATACAATAAATAAAAAACAAGAAAAATAAGAATATTTAATCAGATAAACTCAAGGTATACCTTCTAAAATATGAAAGCATCAGAACACTATATGAAAGAAGATTAAGAAGAATATTACAAATGGTAGAGAAACAAATTACCATAACATTTTGGAGCTCACTTAAGCAAGCAGCACAAGAGAGGGTAGATTACAAACCATTAAAGAAAATAAAATGGTTCAGAACATGGGACAATGAGTTGAAAGAGATAGTAAATCAAAAGAAATGAGCATACAGATCTTACCTACAGAAAAGAAAAGTGAAGCATTACATAAAATATAAAAAACTAAGAACCAAAGTATGAAATACAAGCAGAATACACAAATGAGAAAACTAGAGAAAATTTATCAAAAGTGTAGAAAGAGACATCACTGGCCCCCAACAAATGGGATTCAAAATTTTGAAAATGCTGCACATGAATGTGGAAGGCAAAATCACACTAGAATGCATCCTTAAAGAGAACTAGATAAAACACTACTCCACCCTATGGAACAATCTAGATCCTAGAACAAAGAAAGGGGTAGCAGAAATCGATAACAATAGTGAAAATGACATGGACACCCCCTTGAATATTGAAGAACTAGACAGTATTAGAGAAATCAAAAAATAGGGAAAGCTTTGGATTAGATCAAATCAACCTAGAACTTTAAAAAAAATGGAGAAGAGGAACTAAAAGAAACATTACTAGAACTTTTGAACAAAGTATGGCACGAGAGGAAAATACTAATAGAATGGTTAGAGGGTTTGGTTATGAATATTCACAAAAAATCTTCAAGGAAGCTGTGACAACTGGGTCGGAAGGTTGGTAGAGTGTAGCTACGTGGATTGAATTACATGTACATCACGATTATCACAATAAAACATCACATTACATCACAGTTTTTAAATAAACCATATCTTTATACCATATTTAACTATTAATGCACATACATTTAAATTGCACCTGTAAGGTGTGTAGAATCAATATGCATAAATTCTATTTAAAAATAAAATATTTGTTCAGTTCATCTATCCCCCTTAATCAGAGATGAACAAAATTAGGCTTTCAAGTTTTTTTTTAAAACCTTCTGTATTCAAAGATTGCCATCTTTATCTGGTGTCTGGTTGTTGCGCTCAATTACAAGTAGTCCTTGGTGACTACTAGGTCTTAGTTAATGTTTTGAAAACATGTCACATGCAATCCCATTTCCTACTGTGCATCAGTCACTGAAAGGAATTATTTTATCCCCCTACCCTATCAAAAGCATACAAGAATCCAACTGTTAAGGTGGCAGATTCAGAGTTTGTTGGTGTGATGTGGAACTATCCCCGAAGTGCACATGAAGTTTGTGTCTGGTTTACGTGTACCTCAAGTACTCAAACATTAATACCTTACAGTTCTGTGGATTTTATGAAGTGAAATTTGCCATATGATCTGATGAATTTAATTGGTTTGATAAAATGCAAATCATAATTTTACATCAAAAGTGGGTAAATCAATTTAATACCTTCCGTTACTTTTGTGGAAGATTTACAACCAAACTTACAGACATTAGGGAGTTAATGAGTGCATTGTGTGTTTTCTATAATCCATATCAATGGCAATTATTTATAGATTCTTCCAAATATGGTTTCAAAAAGTGAAATAATTCCACAGATGAGTAATGCAAAATTGTCAAGAGGAATTTTCAACAGCCCTTGAATTCTAAATTTCAAGTTTGCAACTGGGCAATCCTCCTTGAGAGTTGGGCATGCATTCCTCAGAACAAAGAAAGAAGACAATTATAAAACATTGGTCACAGAATGGATAGAAAGCTATTATGAGATGTAGAATGTCTCTGAAAATTCATTTTTTTTTTATTTTTCAGAATTTGGGTGATATTAGTGATTAACATGGTGAAGTTTCATTACGATATTGCTGCTACGGAGAAGAGACACCAAGAGTGTAAGGAACGGATGGAGATTATTGGTGGTTTCTTGTCACAGAGTAAACAGGAATACGAACTAAGTGACAAAGTGCAAAGCATTTTTAAGCAATGCAATAGGAATTTCTCCTTTCAAGATGTTTCAATATTATACAAAAACATGAGTATTACATTTTTAACTTATTCATACCCTGTATGAAGCATGCTCATAAAATTTTGTAGCAATATAACAGGAGTGACAATGTGGAAATTCGTATAGGATTTGTTTTATTTCAAATAATAAATACATTCATATCTTTTGAACCCTGCATGAGAGAAATTTTTTTAAATTATTTTCAAAATCAAAGTGATTGTTTCCTTCACAATCTCCTCCTTTCAACCTGGAGGTAAGAAAAAAAATTTTTTTTGTTCCCAAGTGTTATCAACAGCAACAAAACTTTATGCAGACATGTTGAGAATTAGAGCACATATGAGATTTCTGAGACACCTTGTAGGAGTTACACGAAGGAACAGACTGAGAAGCAAAGACATTCGAAAGAAACTAACAACTTAGTAGAGAAAGTAGAAAACTCGCAAAGAAAATGGCAAGATTACCTTAAAAATGAACAATAACAGGTGGCCAAAATGAATATGAAAATATAAACCAGCAGGGAAAAGGAGGAAGACGACAAAAGAATTAGGAACAGCAGGAACACCTGGAAGACTAACTATCAGGAATACTGCATAAATAATGGAACAGGCGGCTAAGCCTAAACACCAACAGTTCATGATGATGATGATGATGATGATTATATTAAAAAAAGGCATTTGCGCCAGAAACATCAGAAACAATAAAATAATTACCTATTATTTTTTTGTAAATTAGAGCAGATTTCAAGGATATTCTTTACATTTTGAAAAATGCAGCACCCTGCACCCATCTTTTGTCTTGATACCAACCTGCAAAGTCATGCTCTTCTGCACAATGCAGCTACCAACTTATGGAAACTTACATATATTTCTATTCATGTGAAAAGAACCTAACCATGGATGAATATGACCTTGCAATATAATGAAAAATTCTCTAATCTAAAGCAATGAAAGAAAATATTACAGGGTGTGTACAAAACAGTTTAACATTATAAAAACATTTAATTTAGAAAAATAACAAGCTTCAAAATGCAATATTACAATGTTCAATCAGAAAAAGGAATGGATCTCTACCCATTCTTTTGCCATCTTTTTGCCACAAATATTCCACAAGATAGCTGTCCAGATCATTTTGGCGTAAACTATTGAACGACAGCGGTGCTGTTGGCTTTAAAGTTTTTCCTCTGTTCCCTTTTCCAAATCCCTTTCCTCTGTTCCATGTTATCCATGTCTTCTACCCTAATCTTTCAATTATCTCTATGCCAGACAGGCAACTGTCTGTGTAATTTTGGAACTAGATCCCTCCACTATGAACATATATTTGCAAGATATATGCAAGATAACAAGCACAGAGAGAGGCTCAGAGGATACCATAGGTAAATACAAGGGTACAGGAACGAAATATGTTTATGCAATGTATGAGGGGCGTGAAGGTGCATGGAACAGGAAATGTCCCCTGAGAACCAGAATGAATTGCAAGAGGTTCTGGTAGATTGCTGCAGCTGGAAAGAGGATGGGGACAAACTAAAAAGCTAGCTTTAGTTTTTCCCCATCCCCCCCCATTTTTTTTCTTCTTCTTCTTCTGAGAATTACAATATTTTACTAGTCCTAATCACTTATCTTTCTTATTTAGTCCTATGTAATAAAGAAACAGTTATGTTTCTGATGTGTATCATAAAGTACAAAAAAGTTTTTTTAAATAAATGTACAAAATCTGTCTTCAATTAGACAGATTTGAAGTGGACTTTATTAGTGGTTTAAGTGCTAGTGTTGTTAACTGACAGAGGAACAGATGGACAAAAAAAAATTTAAGAAGAAAACTCGTCTTGCATTCGGAAAAAACAGTATATACATGGAAAACACAAATACTAATCACACAAACATCCATGCTCTAGGTGGGATTTGAACACCAAAGCCAAACGTCAAGCACAGCTTTCTCATGTTAGCAGCCTAGGCTAGACATTAATGAAGTAGTATTCATAATGTTATACTAAAATATTACTTTAAGAATTAGGAAGCAATTCTTTCAATAATACTTACAGGGTGATCACTGTCAGGAGTATACATGAAATTATAGAACAAGGGTGAGCGGGCATGTTGCTTTTCAATGTAATCAAAAACAGATTGACCAAGGTTGGGGGTGGAATTACTGCCAGCCAATCGTCCACCTGTAAAATGCAGGTTCATAAAGTGATCAAATACTTTAGTAATACAGTGTATATTAATATAGGAAACCCATGAACTATTATAATTTTGAATTAAAATTAGGAAGTAGAATCACACCTCCATACATTGAAGTTGATGATTCCATCATTAATATTTGATACACAAAAACTTAGTTATATAAAAATAATTATGAAATTTTGGCAAATGCTTTTAAAAAAATTTTTAACATGTTTACAAATAGTAACGTGAAATTATTATTGGATATTTATGTGAGGAAATCACTGAATTGAAATGTTGCGTATACAATGCACTTCAAAATAAATTTCACACTTACATTCTACCGGCCAAATCTTTGATCAAGTTCACTTTTCTGCAACATTACGGGATTTTCTTATCAACATTTTGAACACTTATCTTAAGCGTGTGTAATAGCAAACTAAACCTGCACAGAACTGCCGGACTAACATTGTAAGGCAGAGCCAATAGACTAGGGGGATGCTTTTGACCTACAGATCGCTTTGGCATACACATTCCCTATATGGTGAAGTTCCCACTGTCAGGGAGCAGGAATGAATGACCTTCATGACAAAGCTGGGAACTAGACATAGAAAATGTGTTGGTGTTTTATAAACATTTATATAATTATACTATTGTCCAAAAGGAAGTTATATTTTCTAGATTAGTAATATTAATTCCAAATTAAAGAATCCAAATTTTTTTCAAACGTAATTTATAGAATGTACTGACCTTTTTTATTTCATAGAAAAAACTAGTCAAATCATAAAATCAATTCGATATATAGCAGTAGATTTCTATCTGTAGAACAATTTTTAAATGGAAATTTCAAGGTTCACAAGAAAGAATCAATTTATATAGAATTTTGATATATAGAGATTCAATACACTGCTCTGACTGATCTGATATTGAAGCCTCCACATTTGGCAGTTTTATTTCATCAGGAAGTGCTTACATGGAGGCTCTAATTAAATCTTGTGCATAGCACGAATTGCTACAAAGTATGGGCCAGAGAATGATATTTACATAGAACATTAATTATTAATTTTGTATTAGAAAATGTTATCATTTCTCATCAATATTTTATTGTACAAGTTTGGAAAATAGAGACCAATGCTATAATGCAAGAGTTCACATAAGAGCAGAGCACTAATTACCCCCCAAAAAACAGCATATGGAATATATATTGATATAGAATGACAAAGAAATGATGCTCATAAACATCTCACCTGGATAGACGGATTCATCATCAGAGCCAGTAGCATCCAAATGGGGACGAGGCGTTCGTCCAGCACCAGCTAGGGAACCACGTTTGTCCTCTGCTGCTGCAATTCCATGTTCCACTCTCTCAAGTTCACAGTCCAGGAGAAAGGTACGAAAGCGGCATGATACTGAATGATATGCCAGGAAGCGCAGGTAATAGTCATTGAACTCAAATGCAAGCGGAAACTGATGCTGAATCTACCAGACATACACAAAACAGAAATCAACTAAGAGTAACATAAAAATAAAACAGTACAATAAAAAATTATTTTCTAAAAATCAGGAGTTTGCAAGCAGTAAAAAATTCATAATTTATTACAGATTATAAATTATTGTAAAGAAATGGAAGATCAAACAATTTCTTTTTTTATTCCTAGCAAATTACAAATTGTATTCTAGGTATAGAGCTTACTCAAAGTTCAGATTTGGGTCCATGTTCTGAAATACAGATAAGTTGAATTCATAGCTCTGCAGAAACTGGCTAATAATTTATTCTTAATTTATTACATTTCAAACTTGTCAATTAGTTGACACAATTAAAAATTGCCATGTGATAGTTGCCACGTTTGGCACATTTTGAAAAAACACTTTAGTATCAGGGGACCCATAATAGTTTTCTGTGCCGACACGAGTTCTGGATCGCAAATGAAGGTCACCTAGAGAGTGGGTTTTCAAACTTCACATTAAAAGACCCTTTTTCACTACTCAGAACACTCAATTCCCACTCCCCTCTCAATAAAAAATGATACGGAAATAACTATATTAGTCCCTGTCAAACTACCCATACTAATTAAGCTATTTATGCAAGTAAAAGATTTTTATTTCCAAAGAGTTACGTGCATTATCCATATTCCTCAGGGCTGGCCTTTGGGACCACTTTCAAACACTGACTCAATGTTGAATATAGATTGATCTGAGTAAAAACTTGCATCGTGGAGTTCAATTATTTTGATGATCTTAAAGAGTATTAATCTGTCTGTGATAAATGAAATATTCAAAACTGCTTAAGAATTAGTTGTAGAATGGAGTATGCAAAAAGGTATTTTTCATAACAAAGAAAAATGTTTGAATTATTTGGTCTCAAGAAAATTCATGTATGAAATGTGTTTGGCATTTCGGATCGATAGTCTGACTTTGCTAGCCAGGAATCGAACCCATGACCAAGCTAGTACACTGCCCATGAGTGTGATGAAGGTATTAAAATTAATGAGAGAGATGAAGGCAATTTTTTAATAGTAAATTATAATGAAAAACTTTTCTGGATGCATGGCTTAGTCTGACCTATGTATCCCTTACTGCAATCATCACAGAAAAACTTGAAAAACACATTTGAAGAGTCCATTTTTTTTGTTGTATCTATGGGCCTATTCAATAAATAGGTTATCATAGATTTTGACTATTATGAAGTTCCCCTTTTGTTTGTACAATTACTGAACTCACCATGGCCTGATGTTTAATGAAATACATTATACATACATAATATATTACTGTTAATCAATATGTTAATTTTACATTTGTTAAAACATTTTGTAGATAGCAACTTGTTATTATGAGTTCCATCCAATAACTGTTTTATTAGCTTACAAAATGGTTATTTGAACTACGAAACATCTTTATTGATTTGTTCAACAATGAATATTAATGTAACATAATAGATTGCATTTTTCCGATGTCGTTCCTATTATTTAATATTACATTAATAATTATAGTAATTATTATTATTATTATTATTATTATTATTATTATTATTATTATTATTATTATTATTATTGTTATTAAAAGATCACAATTTTTACACTTATTCATCCTTTTTGGAAGGTAGGAACTCCTATCCTATTTTCAAATGCGTAACTAGTAGCTCCTCCACAAAATACTAATATAAATTCCTCATAAAATTGACAATTTTTCTCCATGAAATTTAATTATAAACCACACAAGTAAATGTTAGTCACATAACAATAGTCATTATGTGCAATATATTTTTTTTATAAATGACTATTCCTTTATAGTTAAAATGTACAAGTCCATTACAAGCATACCTGATGTACAACATCAAGGAACTGAAGGAAAGTTGGTGCAAAGCCGGAAGAGGCCTGAGCACCAGCTGCCAGGTTACTCCGATGAGAGAAGCGATGGCCAAAGGCTAGCCATTCTTTCTCCAGAAGAGTGCGAAAACCTTCCAGGGTACGGTAGTATGGATCAAGGCACACCTGTGCTACAGATGACACCTGGGCAGTTACATCAGAACCGTCCTCCAGGCACAGCATCACAGAGGAACCCTGTACATCTAACAGGTCCACAACAGCACCTGCTAGTTGCATGATATTCTGCAGTTGCTGCAGCCACTCTGAGCTCTCTACCAACCTGTGCCCAGAAAAAAGTATGACACATTATGAATATTCTAGGTTTAGTGAGCTCATCTACGACAGTGTAATGGAGTAAGCAAAAATGAGCAGTAATATTGAAATAATACTCCTCCAAACGATAATTTTTTTAAAATGTTTGTCAAGACAATTTGTCACAGAAAAACAGTATTTTAGCAAATTTGTATTAATGTACAACTATACTTAACTAGGATTAAAAATATTAAATCTTGAAATATTGTCCGAATTATACAAGATTTCTTTTATTTTTCTATGCAATAAAAAAATTAATTTCCTGATAATATCCCATATTTTACAACCATCTGTAGTATAATCCATTTTGTAGTTCATGGGTTTTGGTCAAAAGAAGACAGTTTGTCGATGTTTCAGAGTTTATTGCTCCATCATCAAGGCCAAATGCACAGACAACACAGTTAGAACAATGTGTAACACTAATTGTTAACTAGTGTATTGAAGAACACACTAATAACACAAAATAACTTTTTAAATATGAATTAACTAGTGGTGCCACAGAATGGCACAGACTTTCCTGTATTAGTATTCAATTTTCTTTGGATTCGGCTAGCTATTTGAACTTGCCACATACTCTGCCAGCTGCCATCTTAATTTTTGTTTCCTAATAGTAGAATGAAAATATTATTTTAAGAATATTAAAGAACAGTAAAATCTTGTCCTAAATGGCAATTTTTATTGAAAAATTTGGAGCAATTTTTATGACAATTTGTGTTAGTGCTAATGAAAGTTCGAAATTTAAAGCCCTTTTTCACAGAAAAATTACTTCAAATAATTGAAAAATTAATGCACATAAACTCATAAATAAAATAGTGTTTACAAATTGGTGGAAATGTGCATTTTAGCGGCGTGATAGACCTTCCAAAAATATTACACATGTATAATTTTAGGGAAAAAAATGGTTGAGTTCTCCAGAAACATTAAAGGTATTTAAAGGACATGTACTCATAAATAGCGAATGAGAACAAATTGCTGCTAATATACATATTAACGATGTGAGAGACAAATAAAACAATAGATTTTTGTAATTTTTTAAAAAACAAAAGAATAGAGCAATATGGCGTTTCTGTAATCTCATAGAGTATATTTAGCATCATCCCTACCAAATGTTTGAAGAAAAAATTTGAAGCCATTTTCGAGAAAATCATGTTTTTATTATTTTTTAAATTGCAAATGTTCTGCAAAAACTACTAAAAAAGTTTCAAAAATGTACATGACCTTAATGAAAGAATTAATTATGGACAACAAATTTAATTTGAAGGAAAAACCAATCTTCAGTTTTGTAGTTGTAAGAAAATGCCAAAAAAAGTAATAATTTTAAAATTTTCGAAAATTCAAAGTAAACCGTGAAAATCGGACCTATGCCACTTTTAAAAGAGCATGATTTCTTACAAGAAATTTAAAGAAAAAATTCGGAACCATTTTTTGAGAAAAATCTGAAAATGTCTGACTGACTGACGGACGGACGGACGGACGGACGGACGGACGGACGGGCGGGCGGACGGGCGGGCGGACGGGCGGGCGGACGGGCGGACGGGCGGACGGGCGGGCGGCGGGACGGGCGGCGGGCGGCGGGCGGCGGGGGCGGCGGGCGGGCGGGCGGGCGGGCGGGCGGGGCGGCGAGCGGGCGGGGCGGGCGGCGAGCAGGGCGGCGGGCCGGGCGGCGGGCGGCCCGGCGGGCGGGCGGGCGGGCGGCGGGGCGGACGTCTGTTTCGTCTGCTCGTTCTGAAGAAACGGTCAGAAGAAACTACTTTTTCGGTATCGGGGAACCCCGAAACGTGAATTTCCGTCGAATCTCCAAATCGATTTTCTGCTGCCGTACAGAACTTTCCCTACGCCGTGTTTAATATTTCGCATATACGTACGTATACGGAAAAGGTAATAGTACAATAGAAACATAACTTACTCGGGTAGAAAGTATTATTTAAGCGTAATAACACACTACATCACACTGTGCCACGAGAACTGGCATTATCACCCATACACTACGACTATATGATTAAGACTAAAATACTCCATAATTTATAAAACGTTAAACTTATTACGCTTATACATGTATGTAAGAAACATTTATAACAAACATTTACAAGACATAAGGACTAAGCATCAGTAAAAAATAATAAAAAACAAAAATAGAAGTCATTGTAACCACGTACCTAAATCCGTTAATTCGGATTATTGTCTTTGTCCTAATTCTAATCATAGCGTATGGGTGACCATGTCAGTTCTTGTGACACATTGTCAAGAAGTGTCTTATGTTTACATTATACTCTCTACCCAAGTGAGGTAAGTTTCTATTGTGCTTTTTAAATTATATTTTAAAAAGTTATTTTGTGTTAATAGTGTGCGCTTTAATACACCTGTTAACAATTCGTGTTCTACATTGTTCTCACCATGTTGGCATTGCATTTAGCCATGATGGAGAAATAAACTCTGAAATGTCAGCAAACTGAAATAAACTGTCTTATTTTGACCCAAATCGATGAACTACAAAATGGATAATTTTCTTTTCACAGCATCTTTATTAAAAGATATAGTATTCTTCATTAAAGTAATTTTTTAGTGTAATTAAAGTAGTTTTAAAGTAATTTTAATTTAATGGTGTTGTAAATCAAAGTAAATAAACTTTGCAAAATCGATACAAAACTCTTGCTTTATATGCTCAATTTAAAATGAGAGACAAATGTAAGTATGAATCTGACTTTGTAAAGCAATGTGAAAACAGTTCAATTGCAGGGACTTTGTGTAAAAGATTGGTTGTTTTGGCATAAATGAGTGAAATATGAGCAACATTAAAAACAAGATTTTCTTTAAACTTTCTGTACAGTTATGAAGCTAACTTTAACAATATGGGCATTTTTATACATTCATGAGTACAATTGCTTCAAATTATTTTTTTTTTTGTGCAGTTTCTCGAAAACTGAGGATTTCTGTGAAAATTATTTCAAAACTGCTTATTTTCAAGAAATCTCACATGCTATTTTCTCAAACTTAGTTCCAACTTTTTCAATGAAAATGAGCATGAAGAACCAGGTTTACATTTTTGTAATATTCTTAAATCATATTTCAATTTTAGTATTAAGGAACCTACAAATGTAAATGAGAAAATGTAAAGAAATATATTTTAGATTCCGACTGATGGCAACAAAGAAGAGGGTGAAGCAAAAGTGACAAGCTATCCCAGATTAAAGATAAGGAAACTAACTAGAACGGGCAAGTGTCATTCTGTAGCACTTACGATACGTATCTTATGTCATCTTTAAATATTAAAATGATAATTTGTGATATTTGCTCGTACTTGTTTGAAATCAGCTTTTTCTTATTTATGAAACAAACAGAAAACGCAGGCCATCACTTGGCGAGCGCTGCTCGAAAGAACCCTCACTTGTGGAAGCTCTGCTCGGGGTCGGGGTTGGGCGAGGCGGCGCTCGGGATGCAGGCGCGCATCAGCTTCTTGAAGGCGGCCTTGGCGTGGCGCACGTCGAAGTACTCGACGGGCACGAAGTCCGTCTTGAGAGCAAGGGCGTGCGCGTCGCCCGACGACGTCGAGCCTTTGTGGGCCGCCTTGGCCGCGTGCGCCTTCTCGCCCAGCACGTAGAGCGCGGCGCGCTGGAGCGTCTGCACGCACTCGGTGCCCGAGTCGGAGTCGGCGGCGGAGAGGCGCTGCTGGCCCGCGACGCCCGTACGCCCGCCGCCCGCGCCGCCGCCCACGCCGCCGCCCCCGCCCGCCGCAGCCAGCGCGCTCAGCGACGCCTGCGAGCTGTGGCGCCGGTCCTTGAGCGAGCCCCAGCGCCCGAACACGGCTGCCTTGCCGCCGCCGCCACCGCCTTTGCCACCGCTCGAGCGCGGGAACACCCTGCGTCCAAGCACTCGTCAACTCACGCGCACCCAACGCGTCGTATACACACGCTCTTATAGGAATTTTGCTTTTGACAGGAAGGATTGGAGTTTGGCAGAATAAAAACGTTCTTGAGACACTTTTTTTTTTATTCCTTTTTTTAAAAAAAAAGAGATAGAGGAGATGGGCGATTAGAGAGAGCAGGAGATAAGGCGAGAGAGGGATAGAGACGAGCAGCGCGATAGCAGACCAGAGAGAGAAAGACACAGAGAGGATAAGACAGAGAGAGAGTAGTGGTATGAGAGAGAGAAAAGAAGACGAGAAAGAGAAAAGAGAGAGATAAGAGAAGAGAAATGAGAAAGAGAAGAGAAAGAGAGAGAGAAAGCAGAGAGAGAAAGAGAGATGAGAGAAACGACGAGAGAGAGGAGAAAAACGAGAGACGCTAGGCAGAAGAGAGAGAGAGAAGAGACGCGAGAAGACGACAGAGAGAGAGAGAACCCGAAACCCAATACTGCACTCTCGATGTTCCCGCATCTTGGAATTTCTCTCAAGTGATACTGGATACAACATAAATAGACAACTCAATGTACTGAAGGCGAATGTAACATCGATCTCTGATAAGGGAACAATCAGAGATTTCCTACTATTCTACACACGTTGCGTCAGAGCACAACGAATTTAAGAGAGGAGAATGAACCCGAAATTAAGGATGCGTTTTGGGAATTCTTCAGGGGAAAGTAGAGTGCAAAGGGTCTCGGCTTATTTACTTGAGAGAAAAATCTGATAATTGTTTTTAAAAGTTCATTAAGTAGTCATTGCATATATTAGACGTTAGATCTTTATTCGGAAAGTGCGGATTCAGGAAGTGCATCTGGCACTAGCAGAGAACATAACTCATCGATGCATGATTATTCATGATTTCTAGTAATCGAAGGAATCTCTAACAGAGCGCCAAGACACGTTGGAGGAGGTCAGTTAGCCGCATTAGAACTGGAGACGGCGGGTGGAGATGGTGAGGTTTCAAGCGTTTTTAATATGGGGAGGGGAGAGGCGGCGCTTACAGGCTGAGTAGGTGTCTACTTACCCAAGCGTGCCAGCGGCTTTGGCGAACGGGTTGCTGCGGCGTGCCACTTCCGGGGTCAGCGTCAGCGTGCCCGCGGCGGGCATGTGCGAGTGTGCGTGTGCATGGGCGTGCACATGATGGGCCTGCTGGGCCTCGTCGGCCGCAAGCAGCAACGAGTCGATGCTGAGCGAGCTGTCCGACATGCCCCAGGCGGATCCCTGGCGGAGCACGGCGATGGGCGTGGCCGCCACCAGCGCCGCTACGTAGCGCTCCAGCTCCACCGACGAGGTGGAGGCCTCGGAGGCCGAGGCGGCGACGCCCGCGCCACCCGGCCGCCCCGCCGCCGCCGGGTGCGCCTTCAGCATGCCCATCACCCCCTTGCCGTGATGCGCCGCGCCGCGCACCAGCAGCGCGCGGGTGCGCGGGTGGCGCCACGTCGCCACGGGCGCGCGGTTGTTCCGGAAGCAGCGCGCGAAGCGACGCACGCTCTCGTCCGTCACGTTCACAGGGACCACCAGAAGCGCCGGGTAGCTGCAAACCCAGCACAACGCCTCACTTACACCGCTCTTCACTGGGGATGGGGATGGAGATGGTGGAACTGACGAGACGGCATCCGTAGAGGAGATATGGAATGAGGGTGGGCATAAAGGCTAGTATGACGACGGTGACACTCGTATGAGGTATGGATGAGAAATACGAGGATGGTCTCGTAAGAAACTTCGTCTTGAAGGAAGACCGACATTAAAGCTTCTGATCATTATTCATCTAGGTTAGTAATATTTAATCTGCAAGTTGCTCCAATTGGACTCCAGAAAAGAATTAGAGCAAAATACCCTAACACAATGTCCATTTTTTATCAGACATATCGAAAAATAATATCGATGTTAACGCACATTTTTTTCATATTTTCGACCAAAATGCGCACGATATCGATTCGTGACTACAACACGAAATCAATCGGTCACAATATCATCCAATCCCGCCTGTCATGAGTCCCAGAGAACGATTCGACGTCAACCCAATGTGGTTGCAAGTGTGAGACTACGCAAGATCCTATTCCGCACACAGGCATCTCCGAAGATGAGCTTAAGGGACTGAAACGCCAAAACCACTTGAACGGTCCTGAAATCTGCACGAAACTACCCATCGGGTTTCAGCATATTTCATGGCTCAGGGTCAAATAACACATTTCTTTATAAGAAGAAAATAAGGAATTTTCGTAACATTTATTAGCTCAGGTAATTATAAGCCAAATGGTTTTGGTTTTGTTATTGATTGATTTTTTTCCAAACTGCATTCACTCATTTACCAGCAAGATGACCCTTTTAAGAAACCTAGAGACATCAAGGAAACGTGCTTATCTGTTTGTAATGTTTGGAAATTGGACAGTGCAAATCTAAATAAATAAAACAAAGTCGGGTTCGTTACATTAATTATAACACAAGAACGGTTGGACCAATTTCAATTATCTCTAATTTGTTGGATTCACCTCCGCCCGGAATAGCAGAATAACTATTAAAATATCAGAAAATAATCGTGAAAAAACAACAACAAAGAACAAAGCTAAATATTCATGTCAAATACTATTTGCAACACTCAGCAGGATTTTTTATTATACGTCGTTAAAATACTCCTAAACGAAGCGTTCTACGACAGTCAAAACTAGATTGTTGAGGACAAAGGCTTCAAAGAAATGTGTCTCACCTCGTAATCTACAAGGTGAGATCTTCTTGAACATTCTATTACATTTTTGTTTGTCCGGCGCTTCTCGATATTACCCCACCTGCTAAGAAGCGTGAACAATCTGCAAATAAATGTGTATGGGAGGGGGAGGGAGAGGGAGAAAGAGAGGGGGGCAGAGTCAGTCAGACTGAGACAGGAACAGAGAGGCAGAGGGAGATACGGAGAGAAAGAGAGAGGGGGAGAAGAGAGAGAGGGAGGGAGAAAGGGAGAGGGAGAAAGGGAGAGGGAGGGGGAGGGAGAGAGAGAGACGGAGAGAGGAGATGAAGGGCATAACAACGTCTCAAGTTAAGCTGGTCTTCATTGGATCTTCATGGATGTGTGTGTGTGTCTGTTCCAGCTAAACGGCGAGACGGGTGAAGTGGTCAATACGATTAGAATGATGGGACGGGAGACGTGTGTGACTTAACAGACGGAGCGGGAAAAGGGGTAGCCGGTGGAACAAGCGAAGCAGACGGGAAGGGAGAGATACGCGGGGCAAGGGGACCGGTATGAAGCGGGAGGGTAAGGGGGAGGGGAGGGTCGGAGCGGGGAGGGTTAAGGGAGGGGCAGGTCGGGCGGGAAAAACTTGAACTGGCGGGGCGGATGGGCTGGCGGAGTTGTTTAAGAGATGATTAATATTGGTAACGCAAGATGATAAAAGCTGGCAACGTACGATTTATTTGATGCGGCTTGGGAAGCGTGGTATGTTTGGCATGGCGATGAAGAGAGTAATTTGATATATGAAGTGTCCGGTAGAGAATAAATGTGCGGTGGGGTGTAAAAGAAGACACGTACCTGCGGCACATCATGTAGGCGCTGTTGACGGTGGAGAGTCGGAAAGGCTCGTTGGGAATGCGTGCGCCGGGCCCCGCGGCCGCACTGCTGCCCGCGCCCGGTGGCGCCAGTCCCAGCCGCGCCCAGTCGCGCACGTACGAGCGCTCGGCCAGCCGCTCCAACGTCTTCGCGTCGGCCGGCGGCGGCGCCGGGGCCAGGCCCGGCGGCGGCACCTCGAAGTCGTCAGCGACTGTTCAACGCCGCGCGCACAATCGCTATCAATACTTCGGCTGACCGCTGAGCGCGCCCAAGTACATGAACTTTTGCAGATATCTCACGGGAGGTTAGGAATACGGAGGCAGTTAGTATGGTGGAAGGATGTAATATAAGATAAAGAACATGGATTTGGAGGGCGTAGAGATGAAAACGGGATAACATTTCAGGGAGGGAGAAGAGGCGTTAAGAAAAAGTAGTGGTAGAAGCATAATATGGGAGGGGCGGGCACAGCGAGGGCGATTCCAAGCAAGGTGAGGGGGTTGCGACCTTTTCCCCTTCGACCTAGAAAGTTATAAAAACAAGTAATAAACTGCAGATTTGGATAGGTATTTAAATTCTATAATTCATTAATTTATTGAGAGCGAGTCGTTACTTGAGTATTAACTTGTATTTGAATGGTAGAATATATTATCATATCAAACTAACGTCTGTTTTAATGATTATACTAAACAATGCCCATTTACTTTCTCGTATACGTACGTATACATGGAATAACATACGAAGTATAGACAAAGTTACGTAATGCTGCTGAGAAAAGTGCCTTTTTTCGACACAAAATTCCGGCTCCCTGGGACCGTTGAAGATGATTTTCTTGCTCCTATGTTTTCTCTAATATGTAGCGTAGTCACAATCCCCATTTTATGGTTTCGTAATACCGAAAGAGCGTTTTTGTTGTTTTTTAAACATCCGTGCATCTGTCTGTGAAAATCACTAGCGTCTATAGTCGTAGGATTTTTCACAAAATGGATACACTCCGCCCAATTTGAAGCCCTGCGATTTTTAAAAGAATTCGGTACATGTTTGGGGTACTACACATAATACTTAGGAACTTTTTCACATTTTTTCACCCTCTAATGACGTATGACAAAAAACCTCACAAACTTAAAATTAGGCCATGTTTTCATGTTTTTCTGTAATATGCATGATAAAATTACCCACCAACTGAAAATTTTAAGATAAATTGGGGAAATCTGGGCAGTAATGAGTTAAAACTTCCTTACCTTAGTATCACCCTGAAGAATTATGTGCAACTTGATCGGATCATCGATCCGCACTTCAGAAAGAAACCCGAGATGATGACAAATACGGTGAGACCCGAGGAGCGAGAAGGGGCATGAGGTGTGTGAGGAAATCAAGGTTGATATAGGCAGAGCTCACATAGAAAGAAGGAAGTAAGTGAGGATAAAAGCAATGGGACAGAGAAGACACAGAACGAAAGAACCGAGCGAGATTGAAGAAAGTAATGTTTGAGCACATTTGAAAAGTAGCATCCCGAGAAATCAACAGGCCTGTGGAAGTCGATTCCATGGCTGCCTCTTATTCCAAACAAAAGTTTGCCCTCCCAATTCCATCCATCCATAAACGGAATTCAGTTATCCGTGCAATAAAAATAAGTGAAAGCGATTAATTAAATTATAATTAAATACATGTATTAGTTTGGAATGAAAAAATTCGGGGCTCCAATTAAGTCGGGCGTTGGAGTGCGTTGCATTTGAAGGTTACCCGAGGAAGACAATCGAAGTCCACTTTCATTCTGTGCTGTAGCATGAATAGACAACTAGAGCCTCGAACATTGATACATAAACTTCATAATCACCTAAAATTGCAAGAGAAACGCGTATTGTACTGCACATGGCAGCACTTTAAAACACTTTAATTTAATTCCTGTGAAATGCTTGAAAGCAGACTAATTGAGCTTCCTCTTCACCCTTGCACTCGCGCGCCAACCAACTCACTGGACAGGTCATCGTCGGCGCCGAAGTCCCCGGGCTCGGTGAGCGGCAGGCTCATGCGACCGGGCGATGTGAGGTATTTGCTGGCCGCGCCCACGCTAGGCAGCACGTACTTCTGGCGCTTGGACGACGGCTTGGGCTTGAAGCCCGCTTTACGGGCAGTCTTCAACAGCGTCTTCTTAGCGAAACCCCTGTGTGAAACGCGAGTTATTAAAGACAAAGTGAAACAAATTGATATTGCTTTCAGAGGAAGCCTCTAAGGCGAGTGCTTTTACACACATATAGGCTACTAAATCCATTCTAAGATATGTTTATATGTTATTTTCTTTGAGATTTGAAGCACTCCATCCAATGAACATACATAAAAATTAAGTCGGCAAAAATCCGCGTAAGTCTATAAAATCGACAAATCTGACATTATACTTATTTGCCATAAAGTTAAGGCGTACGATTCAGTTAATATGTGCGAACTGCTCTCCATTCTAAAGCATTCTTCATAGAAACATACATTATTTTTGTTGAGAGCGCAGAACACCAATTGTATCATGCCTTGAAGCATTAATTTCGCTCTTTAATTGAATCAGAAAAGTTAAAGCTTTTTTGAAATATAATTACTCCTTCCAGCAAAAGTGCAGTAACATTACAAACTACTATACCTCGGGAATTAGAACAAAAGATCAAACAATTATATTAGGGTGACCGGCAGAGGCGGATTCAGAGACGAATTTTGGAAGGGGAAATTAAAAATGTTTTGGTCGAAGGTGTCATATAACAGATTGTGCAAAATGTTGTAGGCTACACTACCTCATTCTGCAATAAGACTATTCGTTTTAATGATGATCTGAAAATATTTTTGCTTCAAAGATTCGGGCTAAGTTAAATAGTAACTGGAAATTTTAGGGGGGTGGGGATTTACCTCATTTCCCTCCCCGTGGATCCGCGCCTGGTGACCGTAATACTCTTTTTAAGAGTATTTCAGGAGAGTGTTGAAACATGGATTTTTTAACCATTTAACATTTTGCACAAGTATTTTTGAATTTTAAATATTTAAAATGACATTGGATCATACTGTCGATGTCTATTCCAAACGTATCCTCTCGGAGCTACAGTTGATATCTTAATAGCATTCTTACATCTTACACATGCTTATTAAAACTTATTCTTCCTTTCTTACTTTAATACCTCACACCTTCCATTACTATTTACTACTTAAGCTAATGTTTACCATTTTTCATACTTTACAGTTCCCTGGGCTATCCGCTTAATTTAAAACGGCCTTTACTTTAAGCATCCATGCTTTTAACACTTCCTTTAAAACATTTTCCTTTCATCTTATTTCCCCTCTTGTGATTCTTCCTCAATTTCTTTCATCTTCCTCTTTTTCCACATCAACAGCCTATAGGGTCTGCTTCATTCTATCATCTCTCTTCTACCCTGACTCCCTCCCGCACCTTCCGTGACATGCTAATGACTCTTTTTCCCTTTTATCCTTTTTCCTCCAGACCCCTCAGGCATTGTCTGTTATATCCTTGGAAGTTGCGGTGTTCCTCCTACGCTGGAACGTGAGATCCAGCGCCGATCTACACGTCGGCATGAGGGGTTTCCTTCCTCCAGATATCTCCCTAACTGGGTACCCCCCCAGCTCTTAGTTCACGACTGGTTTCGCGACATGTGTGGTTGAGTACTGCTTGTGTGCGAGTGTGTGTGCGTGGGGGGGGGAGGGAGGGAGAGACTAAGATGAAGGAAACATTGCACGCGATCCGTGATTAGTTTGTTATGGTACTGATCCGGCATTCGCCTGGTACTGGTCGGAGAAACTACCGATGAAAGCAACCAGCCGCTCCTTCCCCTTCCAGTGGCTGAATTAAACCCACCTATCCTTTACTTCAAGAGTCCACTATCGTCGGGAGAAGAACGCTTGAACATTCCAGTGAGCGACGCTGTAGAGGCAAGTTCAATGTTGCCACTGAGTCGCCGCAACTGGTTACAGACGTCGAAATGTGCATCGATCCAATATTGATTTTTTTCCAACAAAATCTCCCTTTTTTTTAATCTCCCTTCATTCGAATAATTCTCTAAACTCTCCTGAGAACGAACTGACATTCTCTGCACCCAAATGGGATGAGTGAGTTTTGCGTCTGTACTAACATAACTATACTTTTTTTTTGTTATTTAAGGTCGCATTAACATCTAGGTCATTAGCGACCACTAATGTATTTAACGGTATGGTAACTATGAAGATGACATGATGTGGTGATGAGAAAGAGTGAAAGGCCGAACCCATGCCCGAGGCGGGACTCGAACCCGCGTTCATTCGGTCCGAAATCGCTACGACACTACTGCTTAAACGGTTTCGGCCACAGTTTGTTACGTTAAAATATTTAATACATAAATGTAATGGAAACATATTTGGTTATTTACATTTTTTCAGAGGTGATTTTCTTTGAATCGGTCCAAGATATACCTGATCATATTCCAAAACAAGCTGTGCAACAACAGCACATACTTTCTCGCATTGTTTGTAAATTTTGCAATTTTCGAACATTCAGATACTTCAGTGAAAATGAGACCGTCGCTCTTTTACTCTATCCTCGACAATTTAAACAAAAAATGAGCCATTTTTGAGGAAAAAAAAACAAAAACTATCTTCACTTCAAGCAAAAATTACGGGAAAACCATTCGTTTTTTAAAAACAATTGTACATTTTTGAAGAACTATTATTTTAGAACAGAATTCATTAAGGAAAAAAGTTATATCAATAACGTAATTCTATTTTTTTGCATTTTCGAAAATATAAATAGTTAAACAAAAATGTGACTTGCGCAATTTTTATATCTATATTTTACGCAAAATTACATGGAAACAACACATAGTAGCGAAAAATTGTACGCATGTAATCTTAATTAATGTTCTATATTTGAAGAACAGATTCCTTTAAAAAAAAATTCAACCTCAATATCATAGTTCCAGGAAGATGCCGAAAAATATTGAATCTTTAAATTCAAAGAATTCCAAGAAAATTAGATCAGAGTTATTTTTTAAAATGTTATTTACTCTATCCGTAGGGAAAAAAATAATCCAAAATCTGGAGCCATTTTTGAGAAAAATTCGAAAATGTGAAGGCATTACGTCCTTAAATCAAAATATCCATTTCAAATTACCTGGGTATAGAGTTCCGCCAGATCGATTAAGGAATGTCGATTTTGGACGATTTGTCTGAACGATTTAGACGATATTATTAACTACAGAAGGAGTTTTAGCGACAACAAATTTTGCGGTATCCAGGACCCACAAAACGTTGAATTCTGACACTTTAATCTCACAACATGTTAGAGGACCTAAATTACTACATACACGAAGAAGTTTATACACTTTTCCGATATCAGGACACCACAACACAAGTTTTCATAATGAAAATCATTTCTTTACGCAGCAGCATTACAATACTCTTTTTACTATGTAAGAAAATTAAAAATAATTCAACCATTTTGGGTTGGGCTTAAATTTGTTTTTAATTCATGTCTTTGTTGCTAAGAGAATGGTTTAAATGAGCTTTCTGACTTTTAATAAATCATAATTTGCGTAGCCTCAATATTCTTTAAATAATAAAAACAAAATGTAATGATTAGAAAAGAAAAAGAAGTCAAAGCAAAATATTTTCAATAGGTGAAAAGTAGTTATTTTTTTCTTCTTTTAAGAAAGCTGCAACTCTTACTAACTTAAAAAATGTTAAGTGTCTCTCTACCCTCTAGGCAATAAACTACTGTGAGAGGTTTTGAACTAACCCAAGAGGTGAAGCCTGAATCACTATGCCAAAGGAATGCATGTGTCCAAGGTATAACCCCTTCCCCAAATATTTTTAGAGGTACATACATGAATGGAAAGAGTTTTCTGTGAAAACCAGCTTAAAATTCCGCATTTTCAAAAATGCTCAATCGCCATTTTCTCAAAAATTGCACCAATTTTTTTTTTTTTTTCAAACTTGTTGAACGGATAGTGCTAATTGCACTGTAAATTCCGAAGTAAAGTTCCTTTTTGTGTATGTTTTTTTTATAAAATGCATATTTCCTTTTCCTGGAACCAATGCTGGTTGTGAGAGGGTGTACAGTTTTATCAAAACACATTGGTGGGTCTGTAAATTGAACATAAACATGAGTAGTGATAAAATGATGGCTGACAGTTATGGAAAATGAGGATATTTATTTAAGTAAAATCATCTCAGAAATTTGAATGATGGAAAGTGGATGGTTTTGCATAAGCTGTTACAATACACATGTATGAATGTACTGTATAAATGCTTTTATAAATGCTCCTTTGGCATTTTTTTGCATTATTTTGATATTTTTTTTAAGATTTTAACTTTTAATATTGTGTAAAGTTACTTGAATTTTTTTATTTATTGTATTTATTGTATTGTATGTACATAGGCAATATGCAGAAGTAGTGTTTTTGCTGAATTAGCAAATATATAATAGCAAATTATACTTCAGTCAATGTGAGAATAATCTTTTTAAAAGGGTAGAAAATCTTGAAATTTCTAGTCACTTTGCATTTACTGACCAGCCACCACTAAATGCTATGTTAGATACTGAAGAAGACTGGGAAAATACAAAAACAGTTTTGATTTTGAATGAATAATGTAAATATTTGATTATGTTAATTCGCAATTCCTCTATGAATACAGTTGGAACACACAAATTTTCATTCAAAATCATTTATTTGCCTGGCCTATTGGCTAGGAATCTAGGGGCCAGCAGCAGCAGCAAAAATATTGATTTCTCCTTACATGTAAGCAGGATTTTTACTACACCAGGACTCTCCCACACATTTAACAGTAGCATATTTTTTTCCCCTGTACTACACCGCACTTCGTTATTAAAGTTGGTGAATTAAATATATGAGTGTTAGTTTTAATTACTTTTGTCTGTGCATTACTGAATATATATCATGAGTTCATGACCTTGCAATTTTGTCTCATTGCAGTAATGTTATCTGAGGACAGGAATGCATCAAGTCCTGAAACACCATTTTGTACGAAAATATAGCTGTAAAAACTATGTACAACGTTTAATATAGAGAAATGAGTTATCTGTAAGTGTCCCTAAGTAAAGAAAATTTGATTACTAATAAATAAGAACTCCAAGAAGTTCTTTAAACTCATGAGAATTTTGGAGACACAGGAAATGATTCA